TAAAATCCAATAAGCTTCTTTTAAAAAAAACAACTTTCGATACTGATAATATTGTCCAATAGTTCCTGAAAACAATATTTTAAAATGTCAGGCTAGAGTGAGTTACATATATGTGAAAATCGAGATTTTATTTTGATTGTGCGAATATATTTCAAGCAATTGTAGATTTAAGTATCTGTATACTCTCTCTCTCTCTCTCTCTCTCTCTCTCTCTCTCTCTCTCTCTCTCTCCCTCACTTCTAATTCAATTAGGGTCGAAGTCTTAAACTCATTCTAACTCACATAGTAAAATTTCAAAGAAAAAATTCCTTGTTCTTTTATGGTGTAGGCCCCACCCTCCAATCAATTAGTTTGGTAATGGAGAGAGGGAGAGAGAGAGAGAGAGAGAGAGAGAGAGAGAGAGAGAGAGGGAGAGAGGGAGAGAGAGAAAGTGGATACTTAAAAATATAAAGTTGCTTTGGCTTGTATTGCATTCATACAATCAAAATTAATTATTTTTTCATAAATAACTCACTGTAAGCTTGACCTTTATAGGAATTATTTACAGTATTTATTGCACAGTATTATCAGTCTTAAGAGCAAGTGTACGAAGAAAAGACAAAAACGAAGACATTGTAGTATTAAAATTGCTGTTTTCATGTACGGCAGAATAATCAAGCAGAAGGCTCTCTCCCTACCCTTCATCTCACCGTAGCCATATCGCTCGCATTGCGAAATATCGATGGAGATAAATTCTGCTACTCTCGTGAAAAGCTAGTGTATATATAATACTTGACGTGCTGTTGGAGTGTAAGCAAAGTAACATTTATGAAGGGGTTCAGGGAAACCGGCAGGCCGGACTTGAGTCCTGGAGATGGGAAGTACAGTGCCTGCACTCTGAAGGAGGGGTGTTAATGTTGCAGTTTAAAAACTGTAGTGTAAAGAACCCTTCTGGCAAGACAGTGATGGAGTGAATGATGGTGAAAGTTTTTCTTTTTCGGGCCACCCTGCCCTGGTGGGAATCGGCCAGTGTGATAATAAAAATAATATATATATATATATATATATATATATATATATTATATATATATATATATATATATATATATATATATATACATATATATATATATATATATATATATATATATATAAAATATATATATATATATATATATATATATAATATATATATATTATTTCTACCAGTTCTTTTGACGTTAAAATGCATCTATGGAGGAATGATGCCACTTAACGTTCTTCATCTCTAGTTCTTCCTCAGGTGTTAGAAGTGAAGGTTATTACTCAGGACATCGTGTTTTTTTCTAATTGTTCAATTCTTTTTTTTTTACTGAAAGTGTATATATATATATATATATATATATATATATATATATATATATATATATATATATATATATATATATATATATATATATATATATATATATATATATATATGTAGTAATATGATGCTGTATAAGATTCATGGTGATAGTCCAAAAAAAAATGCAGAGGAAAATTTGACTTAGGAAAAGTGCTGCAGAAGAGCTCACGAAGTTAAAAATTGGGTATTTGAATTTCCCCCAAAAGTATGAAAATACCTCATCATGGATTTTTTTTCTTTAAAATTTGAAAATAATTTTTTTTGTTAAACTTTTCAATAGAAACCAATAAAATAAAAAAACTGGGTGATTTTCATGAAAACAGAAGCACTGCAATGAAGACCAATGATTTCTTGTATAAAATGAGAAAGATTTTTATTAAAGACTGTTCCATCAATAATGAAAGTGTAGATTAAAAAATATAATGTGTTTTATTTTTTCAGGTGGATTTAATTTTACTTTTAATCAGCTACTTTTTGCACCAGACAGCTGCAAAATAAAAATATAAGATAATGGACAAATTGTCTACGAAAAAAAAAATAAATAAAAAAAAACACGTGAAATATTGTTTCATTAGTGACGTGAAATTCTTCTTGGGCAAAATTCGTAATTTTCGACAACTCGACCTAGAAAAATAGTAGAAACATAATTTAAATCCAAAAATATTAATTAAATTATGCACTACTTATATCCCCATTCCTATTTGTCTTTTTTATATTTTCTTCCTCTCCCTCTCTCTAGTAGTAGACCTTATAATAGTAATAGTAACCGTAGTTGTAATATTAATAGTATAAGTGTAGCTGTAGTAATGGAAGTGGTATCGGGAGTAGTAGTAGAAGTTGAAGTAGAAATAGTTGTCAGAAAGTAGTAGTTGCGATAGCAGCAGCAGAAGTAGTAGTAGTAGTAGTAGTAATAATAATAATAATAATAATAATAATAATAATTGTAGTAGCAGTATTATCAGTGGTATTAGTAGTATATGTTAAATTTTTGGAAAGAGAGTACTGATTTTTTTTATATCATTTTATCAGAGCATTTCTGTTCATAGAATTTCCTTACTGTTCCTTTTCTTAATGCGAGTGTAGCATAGACGATGCAAATCTCAAGTGAAATGATATACCGTTTGTCTGTTGCAGGAAGTGGACACAAAGACTGTGACGAGAACGGTTCCTGGTTCATCCATCCGTACACTAACCAGTCCTGGTCCAACTACACTACTTGCGTCGATATGTCCAATCTAGAGGTAATGTTTCCCCTGGCTGTTTGCTCAGTCCTACTCTTCCTACTCTCTATTCCTTTCTCTCTCTCTCTCTCTCTCTCTCTCTCTCTCTCTCTCTCTCTCTCTCTCTCTCTCTCCAGGAAAATGTATCTCTTTGTTATGTATTAAATATTGTTATCTTTAGAAGGACGAATTTTAATACATATATATTCATTATTCTTGGTTCATCCCCAGTAAGCATAAAACTATCCACAATAACCAATGTTATTTAAAGTCAGCTAACATTATGCTATGTACAGTAACATATAGATATATCTATCTACAATAATCAATGATATCCATCCTTGATAAGTATAAAGATATCTCCAGTAAGCACAAAGATATCCTCACTAAAGATAAACATATCCCCCCCCCCACCTCCTTCTTCCGTGTACTTACACCTGGTCTTTGGTTTCCCTCACAGCTTCACCAAGGTGTCAACACGATATACATTGCTGGTTACTCCATGTCTCTAGTGGCTCTCTGCATCTCCCTCTTCATCTTCTGTTTCTTCAAGTAAGTTACGGTTTCCTTGTGTCTGCAGATGGGGAGGGGGATGCCTTGTCGGTGGTGAAGGGCTCTTGATCTATGGGAGCTACCATGCTCTTCCTTGAATCATGCCTGATTTCCCATCATCTCCCACGAGGATGATGCATGTAACTCTTTTGTTTATTTACTATAAAGTTTTTGCTGTTCATCGTGTTTATGTCGTGCCGAATAGGTAAAACTTGCGATTTCGTTTTAAATAGCAAGGCTCTTCTTGCTGAATAAAACAAGTGAAAATTTGTGTATGCAGTAACTGCGCAAAAATCATTCTCAGCCTAACGAAAAAAAATATTGCATTGTGTTTGTTTATTATTAAATTATTGTAAACTTATCTAAAATGTATTTAGTTGGATTAGGCTAAATTAATCTGCGCTTGTTATAATAAGATTAGATAAGTTTTCTAAGGTTCTTTTGATACAAAATTATTAATTTTTACATTAACATAAATGAAAAATATATCTTTAAACGTATATGAGAGATTTTTAGGAAGGACTTAATTGTAAATGAGTTCTTGCTAACTGACCAGTTTTACCTATTTGGCACGACACACACACACACACACACACACACACACACACACACACGCACACACACACACACACACACACACACACACACACACACACACACACACACACACACACACACACACACACACACACACACACACACACACATATATATATATATATATATATATATATATATATATATATATATATATATATATTTAAATATATATATATATATATATATATATATATATATATATATATATATATATATATATATATATATATATATATATATATATATTAAATACGCGGGATTACCAAAACTGTTGTCCAGAGGGCTGAGGAAGGGTTGTTGAGGTGGTTCGGACATGTAGAGAGAATGGAGCGAAACAGAGTGACTTCAAGTCTGTAGTGGAAGGAAGGCGGGGTAGGGGTCGGCCTAGGAAAGGTTGGAGGGAGGGGGTAAAGGAGGTTTTGTGTGCGAGGGGCTTGGACTTCCAGCAGGCATGCGTGAGCGTGTTTGATAGGAGTGAATGGAGACAAATGGTTTTTAATACTTGACGTGCTGTTGGAGTGTGAGCAAAGTAACATTTATGAAGGGGTTCAGGGAAACCGGCAGGCCGGACTTGAGTCCTGGAGATGGGAAGTACAGTGCCTGCACTCTGAAGGAGGGGTGTTAATGTTGCAGTTTAAAAACTGTAGTGTAAAGCACCCTTCTGGCAAGACAGTGATGGAGTGAATGATGGTGAAAGTTTTTCTTTTTCGGGCCACCCTGCCTTGGTGGGAATCGGCCAGTGTGATAATAAAATATAATAAATACGCAATTGGTGTTTTAGTGTCTACACCATAAAAAAAATATTATTAAAACGAGAAAAGTTAAAAATCATGCAAGAAAATAGGATAAAAAAAAACGAACAATACTAATTATGATTAAATATTGAAGGCAAAACTTTTAACCAAAGGTGCTGACTTTACAAGACTCTGAGACATATTCCTCAAGAAAAGAAATAAGTTGCAATCTTGCAGGTCAAACTTTTTTTAAATTATACAACATTTCGCTGTGTAGAGTTGTTTTAAGTGACTTTATCGATTTCTTGATAAAGCTTTAACAGACTAAAACTTTGCCTCGATTTAAGCTTCAGCGTGCGTCTTTTTTTTTTTTTTTAATGTATCCATTCTGAACACAAATATAATTTTAATGAACAGGGTTTTACATTTTCTCAGGTGTTTAAGGTGTCTGAGGCAGGCTGCAACGGAAGCCACATTTCCTCCAGCATTTCCTCCTCACATGTCATCCCTGCATGGGTATATTTTTCCTCCCCATGTCTGCAAATAGCAACACCTGCTATTGTTTCTCATGAAGATCTTTTCATCCAAGGAATTAGAGCTATCATACCCAACCCTGTGTCAAACCTGCTTGCCTCTTATTCGTTAAGGTGTTGTATGACCCATTCGTGTTTCGTGCTTCATCTGGAAAAAAATAATGGTTCTCCCGTGTTTCCTCTTCCTTTCTTGCAAAATATAATGAGCTACAGAAACAGAAAAACTGATATATGTTTTTGTGTATTTTGAGGATGTCTTTCATGACAAGACGTCATGGCAAGACGTCATGGCAAGACGTCATGGCAAGACGTCATGGCAAGACGTCATGGCAAGACGTCATGGCAAGACGTCTCATCTCTCGCCTAGACCCATCCTGGATAGATCTGTCATTTCAGCAGAGTCTTCAACACAGGAGGGATGTGGGTGGCCTTACTGTTATGTACAAGGCCAATATTGTCAAAGTATCACACTTGGATCCACTTCGAGGACAGCGTGAAACAAGCGTCTATACCACAAGACGGGCAGAAAGCAGCAACTTCACTCTGGCTGTACCCTTCTCCAGAACATCACTCCATCTGAGATCATATATACCCAAGATGACTCGAGTATGGAACACATTCGTACAGCATAATGATGTCAACGAGATAAAGTCAGTTGATCAAATGAAAATGCTGGCCCACAGATGGCTCCAACTTCATCCTGTTCCGTACTTGTATGTCTCATAACAATAAAAATGCTTTCAAATGAGCTGATGTAGGTAACAGCTCTTAGCTTGCCAATAAAGTTAGGAATCCTTAACCTGTAATATAGCTGTCAATAAAGCTAGGGATCCTTAACCTTGTCAAACCCTGTGTAAAAAAAAAAAAAAGAGAGAGTGGTGTTATCGTGAAGTTACTATATTGTACTGAAAATCTACGTGAAGTTACTGTACTGCAGTAAAAATCTACAGTGAAAATCTACGTGAAGTTACTGAACTGTAGTAAAAACCTACGTTAAGTTACTGTACTGTAGTAAGAATTTACAATGAAAATCTACGTGAAGTTTCTGTACTGTAGTAAAAATCTACGTGAAGTTACTGTATTGTAGTAAATATCTTTGTGAAATTATAGAACCAGAGCAAACATTCTGACGAGATTAAAATACTGAAGTAACAGCTTTCAAAAGTTACAGTACTGAACCAGTGTTACGAAGATATAATGCCAATGTAATTATTTTTTTTTTATAAAACGATAGTACTGAAATCAACACCTGGATGATGTTACACTACAGATTAAGATGTTACAGACAGGATGAATTACAAAACTATGGTAGATGAACACTTCTGGTTTATGAATGGTCAAAGAATCTCAAATTCTTCCCACCCAGTTCATTATTTATTCATGCTTTCCTATCAACCTTCTCTCCATTCGTCCCATCATCCACCCATACCACCCTATCAATCACACCATCCCCCACTAAACACCCAATCTCAAACTAACCACACCAACCCAATTGATAAGAAACACCAATATGAAAAGCAATATAGACAGGGCTTAATACACAAAGATATTCTTAAACACTATTCATCAGTCCTCACCAAAGTAATAAAGAAAGCCAAACAACTATACTACACCAGTAGATTCACTGACACAAGAGGAGATATAAAAAAGACCTGGAAAACACTCTCTCAGATTCTAGGGACCCACAAACTGAAAAAAAACAAGAATATTGTCCTAACTAAACCTAATGAAACACCACTGCAACCCACTGACACAGCTAACAAGATAAACGACTTCTTCTCAACCATAGGTTCTAATCTCGCCAATAAAATCCCACGTACCAATGCTCATGCCGGGGACTACCTAGATGGGAATTTCCCAAATTGCTTCTATCTTGCTCCAACTGAGCCCACGGAAGTCACCGAGGTTATAAAGTCACTTAAAAATAACTCAGGGAATCTGTCTCATGTCCCACCATTATTGTACAAGAGAGTGGCCCATGTCCTCTCGCATATTATCTCATTACTTTTTAACAAGTCACTAGAAACTAGCACCTTCCCGAAATTACTCAAGACGGCAAGGGTTACACCAATACATAAAGGTGGTGACCCTACAGATTTAAACAACTATAGGCCAATATCAAACTTACCATTGCTATCCAAAATCTTTGAGAAACTCGTGCACAGGAGACTGTATTCATTTATAACGTCACAAAACTTACTCAGCCCCTGCCAATTTGGATTCAGGAAAAATAAAAGCACTGACCATTATGGTATAAGAGGCCATGCGCTTGCATATTATCAAATCTTACCTTACTAATAGGTATCAGTATGTCACCATTAAAGACACAGCATCAACAACACAGCCACTTGATACTGGAGTTCCGCAGGGAAGTGTCCTTGGTCCCCTGCTCTTTCTCATATACATCAATGATCTTCCAAACGTATCTCGACACCTGAACCCCATTCTCTTTGCTGACGACACGACTTATGTCATCTCTCACCCTAATCTTGCCACCCTCAACACCATTGTTAATGAGGAGCTGATCAAAATATCGACTTGGATGACAGCCAATAAACTTACGCTTAACGTTGACAAAACCTACTACATTATGTTTGGTAGCAGAGCAGGAGATGCGCAAATTAACATTAAGATCGACAACACTCTAATTGCCAGGCATAATGAGGGCAAATTCCTAGGCCTATACCTCGACAACAACCTGAACTTCAGCACCCATATCCAACACATAACCAAAAAAGTATCCAAAACGGTTGGGATCCTCTCCAAGATACGATACTACTTGCCGCAAACTGCCCTTCTCACACTATACCATTCACTTATATATCCATACCTCACCTATGCTATCTGTGCTTGGGGTTCAACTGCAGCAACACACCTAAAGCCAATAATAACCCAACAAAAAGCCGCAGTAAGAATAATCACTAAATCCCATCCCTGGCAACACACCCCCCCACTCTTCATAGATCTAAACTTACTCCCTGTTCAGTACATCCACACTTACTACTGTGCAATCTACATCTACAGGACCTTAAATTCCAATATTAACCTTGACCTAAAACGCTTTCTTGATAGTTGTGACAGAACCCACAGGCACAATACCAGACACAAACATCTCTATGACATTCCCGTGTCCGACTAAACCTTTACAAAAATTCAATGTATGTCAAAGGCCCTAAAATCTGGAACACCCTACCTGAAAATTTCAAAACTGCAGACACATTCATCACCTTCAAAACTACCATCAGAAAACATCTTATCTCCCTGATACACCCTGTCAACTAATAATACGAATACCACCTGGTGGTTCACACTTACACTCACTCACCCATTTGACCATAAACAGAAATATCAATCTCAATCTCAAAATAATGAATCTTAACTAGTCATAAGTTGGCCTGTGATACTCCAATACTGAAACTATGTATAGTGCCAAAACAAAAGCATTCACATTGCTAAACTCACAACTAGTATTTAGTCACTTAGCCATAATACCAACTTACCTCATAATTTTGTAATATTTTAAACCTAACATTTAATATAAGTCTGCCCGAAATGCCTAGCCATGCTAGGTGTTCTAGTGGTACACTCTGTAATTATTATTTTACTACATGTAAACCACACAATAACCAAATTCTGTAAACTCAGCATTGTAATCCTTATCGAGAATAAACTTTGAATTTGAATTGAATTTGAACCCTCCAATCACCCCATCTACTTCTAACCACTCCTCCCTGTCCCCTTTCTTTAGTCCTCCATCCCACTCCTAACCACTTCATCTTATAGTTCCTGACCTCAGAAGAGTCAGCCTTGACTGGCCAGTCATTACGACACATATTACAGTAGTTTCTGATCCATGTTTAACAGTGAATGCGCGTGGCTTCCAACCCAATGCTTCTCTATTTTTCAGTTCCAATCTTTTAAAAATCTATAATTTTTTTTTGGTTTTTGAAATGTTTCTTTTTTAAAAATCTATATTTTTTGGGGGTTATTGAAATGTTTCTAATTATTTTTTAAAATCTATAAAAATTTTTGCTTGTTGGAATATTTCTAGTTAATTTTCAGAAATGCATAAATTTTATGGTCGATGAAATATTTTTATTTAATTTTGAAGCATCTATATATTTTTATGGGCGTAGAAACATTTCTGCTTCATTTTTATTTTAAAGAACTTTATAATAATCAGAACTAGCGAGAAATCAGGTTTGGTGAGGGGAGATCAGACTCTGTGAGGGAGAGATCAGTTTTGGTGAGGGGGAAGGTCAGGTCCTGTGAGGGGGGGAGGGTGTTATCTTCTCATCATGGCCCCCTTGCCATCCTAGCCATTCTTTCCTTCATTGCTCTATTTCTTCATGGCTCTCTTCTTTTCACGATCTCCTTTTCCTATTTTTCTTCCCTTTGTGGTCCTCTTCTTTTAATGGCCCTTCATCCTTTTGTGGCCCTCTTCCCTTCGTGGCCCATTTCCCTTCGTGGCCTTCTTCCCCTCCCTCTGCATGATCGCCGCAAATGGAGCTCCTACACCTTCCAGATCTTGAATCATGGGAGTGAAATTGGATGTTTTCAGGTAGTGATTCGCTCTATTTTAACGTAAAATTGTTGTTCAAATAGATTGAAGATGATAGCCTAAAGGGCCCGCTTGGGCAGATGGATTTACGATAGAATGGGGAGGTAAAAATAGAGGAAGGGAAGGCACTGGAAAAAGGAGGAAATACAGGTTGGTGGTAAAAGATGTGAAAGACTTTGGAAAGCCAGAGGAGGTAATGGAAAAGGAGACAAAGAAAGGGTGAAGAGGACGATTAAGAGAAAGTAAATTGGGTGGAGAACGTAGGTAAAGGAGGAAAATGTAAAAGTAAAATGGCGAAAGGGAGAGTGGAAATAATAGATAGGAGGGCTGATGAAAGGGGATAGGAAGGAACGAAGGGAGGGAGGGAGGGAGGAAGGGTAGAAGGGAGAGAAAATGGACAGCAGGAAAAGAAGTAAAAGTAAGAAGAAATAGGG